CAAGTTCCTCAATTTTGGAGAAGATAAAGAGGGAGAGAAAGGGGCGAGAAGCCTACCCAAGGGGAGCATGCCGCGAAGAGAAACCCCAGCCATACAACTAACCAATGTTAATGTTATTTTCTTTTATTCGGCCTGCGCGTCGTAACGTATAATATTTGTGTTGGGGGCTTTTGCCCATTTTTTCGTAACACACATACAGCTTCGGTCCTCGTGACCGTTATGTTTCTTTTTTGGATGAGGGCTTGGCCCTCTTTAAGTAAAATTTTGACAATTGCGGTCTTTGTTGATCGTTTTGATATCAACTCGCTTTTTGCTTATATTTGCATATGCTCGTGCATGATTTGCTTTTATTGTTGTTGTTAAATTTTGCATGGTTGTATGCTCGTCTACTTGAGACATTTATTTTGCTCAAGAGTTTAGGGGGTTTGCTCGTTATTATGGAGGTTCTCCAATAAGGAGAGACTGGTCGAACGACCATGCTATATTTCCGGGCATGAGCCGGAACTCAAGTCTCGTTTGGGGCCTGAGCTCGGCGGCATGAACTTCCCATCATGAGTTGGGTGTTCTGCCATTATGGTACGAGATGGTGGAGCTCGTTTGAGTTTTCCCCGTCGGGCTAAGAATCTGCTTATTAAAATAGTGAAAACATGCCTCTTTTTAATTTGAGATGTTATGCTTCTACATGAGCACGCACCTATAGTCGGGAATGTCATGTCTGTCATTTTTACAGAGCACACTGACTGTTTTTTGTGCCTTAACTGTAATATTGTTTCAGTTTTTCGGTGTTCCAAGGTCGAGCAAGTTATTCCCCGTGCAAGTTTTCTAAGTAGTAGGCCCTGCGTCCCGTTTTTTCTCGAACGCGATAGGGACCTTCCCAGTTTGCGGCGAGCTCTCCTTCGCGAGAATCTTTTTGATTTCTCTTCAGAAATAGGATACCAACTTTGAATTCATACCGTATGACTTTAGCGACGTATCATATGGAGATTTTTTGTTTGAGAGAGGCTTCTCACTAGGCTGCTCTTGTTCATATTTCTTCGACGAGATCGAGTTCTTCTCTTAATGCCTCGTCGTTCATCTCCTCGTCGAGAGAAACTTCAGTCCGTCTGGAGGATTCTCTGATTTTGATGGGGATGTCAACCTCAGTTCTGTATGCTAGGCGGAAGGGAGTTTCCCCGGTGGATGAGTGAGGTGTTGTTCGGTAGGCCCAGAGCACACTGTGTAGCTCCTCGACCCACCTCTTTTTGGTTTCGTCGAGCCTTCATTTGAGGTCTTGTAGGATTACTCTGTTCGCAACCTCGACTTACCCGTTTGTTTGTGGATACTCGACAGAGGCGAAGTGTTGGATGGTGCCCAACTTGGCGACGAATTCCTGGAAATTCTTGTCCTTTAATTGTGCCCAAGATGTCAACCGATGAATCCTGATCGGCTAACCACCAGGGTCTGCACGGTTATTTATACCCGCTCAAATAGGCTATTCTTCATCCTGCCAAGCCACACGAGGATAGCCACCCAGGAACGACCAAAAATCACGCTTACCCGTGAAATACTTCTATGCCCGTCGTAACGGTTAATTCCGAGCATCTCTTCCCGTTATAACAACTAATTCCTGACACATCTTTTTTTGAGGAAACTGATATCTAGGTCCAAAAATAAGAATCAATGGCCAAGCGCCGGGGACATTATATAAACCTCACATTTGTGAGGGTCATGTATCAAATATTCATTCTAAGAACCCTAATTTTTTCTTGTATCTCTTTGCACTTTCTTACTTGAGCGTCACAGTGTTTTGCAGGTACACCCCCTCGTCTCCTTCGATTTCAGCCTTGCAGACGTCATCTATCAGCACACTTCAGATTCTGATCAATCGATAAGATCACATTTCATAATTAAATTTTAAATTATACAAAATTAAATATTTAATTTTGTCACTAAATAAAATTAAGACAAAATCTTTTTATAATTTTTATAAGCAAGTGAAAAATAATTTTTATCATGATTAGTTTTTAAAATAATTTTTATATTTGTGATGCGGGATTTATATTTATTATTTTGAAAAACTAAGTAATTAAATATTTATATAAAAATATGAATAAAGTAGTAAATATTTTATTTTTATTTGATTTCTTTTACTTTAAATTTTTGCTGATTTATATTTGTCATTTATATTTGTGATTTATATTTGTTATTTTGCTTTTTTTACTTTTTATATTATTATAATTGTAGTGTATTAGCTATAATTTTAATAATTATTAAAATAAAATTTATGAAACATTTTTTAATATTTTAAATTAAAATAAAAAGAATGAAGAGTTTTATGAGTTTTATTTCTTTTATTTATGATTGGAATTTAAATAGGAATATGAAGAGTATTATTATCATTATCATTATTATTATTCATAACACATAAATTATATCAATTTTAAGAAATTTTAAAATCAAAGATATTTTTTTTAAATTATTGTACTGACTTGTATAAATGAAAAATATTTTTATTATATTTCATAATTAAATATTAAATTATATAAAATTATATATATAATTTAGTGACTAAATAAAGTTGATACAATATATTTTTTTCAATTTTCATAAACTAAGTGAAAAATTATGTTTATCATAATTAATTATTAAAATAATTTTTATATTTGTGATTTGTAATTTATATTTTTTATTTTTAAAATTAAATAATTTAATATTTATGAAGTAGTAAATATTTTTATACTTACTTGATTTATTTTAGTTTAAATTTTTGTCGAGTAGTAATTATTAATGTATTTTTTTATATCATTATAATGGTAGTGTATTAGTTATAATTTTTATGATTATTAAAATGAAATTTATTAAACGTTTTTAATTTTTTGAATTAAAATTAAAAAAAAAAATGAAGAGTTTTATGAGTTATATTTTTTTTATTTATAATTGGAGTTGAAATAGGAATTTGAAGAGTGTTATTATCATTATTATTATTCATAACTCATAAATTATATTCTCTTTGTCTCAAATTAAGTATCACATTTTGAAAGATTATTTATTCTAAAATAATTATAACTTTAGCTTATCAATGCAATTTTAAGTTTTATCTTTCAATTATATATTCTAATTAATATATTTAGTTTATTATTTTCTTACTTTACATTAATTCTAATTCAAATAAATTAATAATTGATTAGAATAATTTAATAAAATTATTATTCTCTCTTTTATTTATTATACTTTTTTAATCTGTGTGAAAGTGTCAAGTATAACATTTAATTTGAGATGGAGAGTATCAACCTTAATATATTATAGTAATATCAATTTTATTAATATTTTTAATTTAAAAATTTGTGAGATTGTCAAGTGAGTTTTTAGTTGAAACCTCATATTTATATTAGGTAGATTAAGATTAAGATAAGATTACTAGTACATGAATAAATGTTACTGTGAACAGTTATGAGTCGTTCCTAATTTCTTAACTCCTAACAAGTTCAGATCACTTGAACATGTGATCATGGATTCTAAAGTATTTAAAACATTAACTGCTCTTGCTTTTTCTACTACTTATGTGTTAAAATTTTGAGCTATATATTGAAGTATTATTTTACATGCAAGGAAACATGATACATGCAACTCTACAGAAAACGCTCATATATAGGTTACAAAAACAACTCACAAAAGGTAAGGTATACCTTGTTACCACATTTGATGTGGCCAAAAGAACTAAAGAATATTTTTCTATTGGGCACATATCAGTTAGATGTAACTCAAAACACTAAATTTATTAGATCGGACAATGTTATATTTTCTGGCATTTCTACTCATTTACAGGTTTAACCAAAGATTTCTTGAATCATTGCAATCACAAACACAACATAGGAACGACTATATTTCCAAGCATTGTCTACTCATTTACAGGTTTAACCAAAGATTTCTTGAATCATTGCAATCACAAACACAACAAAGGAACATATCTTTCAAACCATGTATAGAGCACAAAGTCAAGTAGATCATGTCACGCTGATGAAGTAAAGAAAATAGGTACAAAATTGTGACAAACAAGCCAAAATAGAAACTTAATCTTTTTCGCGAGACAAAGCTTCCAAATCCAAGACCAATATTGAGATTTCGTGTTAGGAGCGTTAGGTGCATATAAGAGGATCCATGAGTATCTACTCTTTGTAGTGTATATTCCATTTATATTATCGGACCAATCGAAGAGGTCTTCCGTATTATGAGGGAGTGGAGTGTAGAAATAATTAATGTGTGAAATAATTGTTGAATACAAATCTTTAATTGTTAGAACAAGATCATAGATGTAAACATACAAGACAAAAGACAAAAGCTATAAGAGGACCAAGAGAAGTTCAGTGACTATACCACAAAAGAAGAGGAGTTGGACTCATACCTTCGGTCAAACCCATCATTTATCACTCTTCTCCCTAACAATGGAATTTCATACGAAAGGAACCTGCAGTGGTAAAAACGGAAAGCAAACTGACACCAGAGAAGAATACTTAGGAGTTTATCAATTTCTTGAAGCAGTTCCAAATAAACTTTTCCAGAAGGATTATGTTGATATCTCTAGTGGACTGATTCCCAAGGCACAAGTTCTGGCGGTATAATATAGAAGTTACATTTGAACTCAAGGTCTTCAAATTAAAAGGGAATTCCTGGCATAGCTTTTTTAATAGAGAGTAATAAAACTCAAAATTTATGAAATTTTACTTAATCACATAGAAACAAATTTGTATCAAGATAAAATCTTGTGGGCATTTTCAATTATTTCATTAATTAATTTCAACAAAACAGGGTATAATCACCATTACAAATGCAATGCACACAATACTTAACCTCTTTATATGCATCAATACGTACATGTATAAAATTTGACAAAGTTGGTCCAAAGCTAAACTCTGTCATAACGAATATATATTTAAAGAAACAGAGATATAGTAATGGAATACAAAGACTTATCACCGCTAAGAACGTCGTGTTTTTTGGTCAATTTTCTGTCTCTGGAGCGACTACGCCACAAAAAATAAGAAAACCATAAGAAAAAACATCAAGACAAAGAAAATCTTGATCATCAGCCACCTATTAGAAGATATGCTATTCAGATACTTCAATAAAGCCCCTTGTGCTCCCTCTACATTTGTTAACGTATCATCCATGTTCTCATCAATCCTGCAAATTAAGATCCTATGTCAGCCCACCAAAATCTCAATTGGCCAATATGAAAACAAATCAAGCAGACAATTCACCTATTAGTGATCAAAATACACATAAATGATCATTTTATCAAAGTGCACATGCGATTATTTGCATCAAATTTCTAGTTATAAATGAGCATCAAGATTGTCAAACAAGCAAGTTCAAGCAAAACCCGTCTTTAGGTAATGGCAGATAATACCCTAATGTGGGTAGTGGATACACAGATGGTATGTTGGTGTGAGTATACTATAGGGTCAATCAGCCCATCACTCCTTTTCAACATAAGGTTTATGATTAACATAGCTACCTATAAATTCCATTATCTTAACATTTTACCATTTTAACACTAATCCTAAACATGCAAGTTATCTTGTATGAGATAGTATATTACTTTCACGATTACTACTTCAAGTAATTTATAAATTTAAGAGCGAAAATCATGTGGCCCCTAAGAAAAATTGAGACTCAATTTGTTTCTTTACAAAAAAAATTAAATCGCGTATAAACTGGGTATTCTCTGCGCCCAACTACATAGAGTAATCCCTCAAGTCTTGTAGGACCATAATAGGCGGCAAACTCTCCCTAAGAGATTTAACACTGAACCTCCATCGAAAAATTTGATTTTTTTTTGGCTGACATGTAATGTTCTCATCCACTGTGTCACCATATTGTCTACGTGTTATGTGATCAAATTTTTGTGTTTTGATGTCCATTTATTTTACCAAAATCACGTTGAAAAACCACATCAACTCAAAAGCTCCAAATAGTTGCTTCATTGTTTTCACGTTTTTTTACATTGGAATGTGGTTTTCCAACGTGATTTGGTTTTCTAACATGAATAACACATATCGGTACCCGATCTAAATTGTATCCTCTTCCTCAAAAACACGTGAACATCCATTGATGCGTCTTAAACCCAAGCTATTCTCTGACTTCTAGATCATGACAAATTTATTACTTTTGGCTTCCATATTCTCTCCATATAGCCTACCAAAATTAATAACTTAGAAAATGAGATCTATGTTGCATCCTCCTCTGCCAAGTGAGTATTTTATCACTTGCAAAGTTTGGGATTGAAATCTCATAACGCTTTTCAGATTCTAAGGTCTTTTGTTTTTTTTATGAAACAAATATCTATCAAGTGATCCATTCCTCATGTATTCATAACAAGTGTTGTCATGTTTCTTTCAAAGCAAAGTCCATATAGCCTAACAAGTTTAAAGCGGTGAAGGTGTTTTATAGGATTTTCTAGTCATGTTTCTAGTTATAATCAACTTAACAAGGTGCATTTCTAGTTTAACGCCTTCTACTTATCAAATTTTCTTTAATAGGATTCAGACAATTGATAAGTTGATTAAAAAACTGCATTCAGAATCAGGAAACCTAATCCAGATAAATTCAAGCATTTCAACAGAAAAAGAAAAAAAATCGCTACGTTTGACACTTTCACCAGAAAATATCATCAAATCAATACTCACCGGTCATCAAAGATTCAATATAGAAAAGCACTAATTAGTTTACAATGCCATACTCCTATGTATACCATCAGTGGCAAGCTATGAAGCACGGACACCTCTAAGAGTAGGCAAGTCGCGGTGTCCGACACTTGAATGACACTCGTACGACACGTGTCGAAGAAGTACAAGTGTAAGAAAAGTCAAACAAGTGTCCCCCCAAAAATTATTATTTATCTTTGTTTCGACACTCTTGAAATCGTATGACACTCACACAACACATGTCGGACAATTAAGACGAGTGTTTTAAAAAAAATGTTTTCTTTGCTTCAACACACCTTTTACATTTTTTGGACAAATCTCTTGCACATCTAAAAAGGTTGAACATGTATTGCAACAATGTTATCAATGCACAATTAGATACATCAATTTTGATTAAAATATTTTTAACTTTTTAATAATAGATTGATAAATGAATGTAAAATGCTATCATATATGTGGCGGTCGGTGTCCTATGTTTTTTACATAATCAGTGTCGGAGTGTATGTGTCGTGTCCTATGTTTTTTACATAATCGGTGTCGGAGTGTCTGTGTCGTGTCCCGGTGTCCGTGTCAGAGTCGGTGCTATAGGTGGCAAGACCACTACATTTCTAAAGGAGCAAATAGGACCAATGAAGTAATTAAAGCAATAGGCAAAAGGGAAAATCACAGGTTTCAAGCATGTTAGAAAACAAAGCACGTATGAACAGCCACTCATTAGAAGGCAATATAGGTTTATAACATTTTTCTCAATCTATTCACTTATTAATTAATGGTTATCCATTTGCACTTCACTACATTATAAAGTTCACCTAGTAATTTAGAGGATTCTCAATATTTATACAAACCACTTCTCTGTTCATGAGTAGCTAAATAAGCAATTTAACAGGTATCAAAACTTAATAGTTAACATAGTAAATAACTCAATTTTCTGAGTCACAGGCGAGCAACCTTACACGCAACACACTGGCTTTTCCTCTCTAAGGCTCACCTAGTGTTTTATACTAGTTTAATTCTTACGCAAGTAATTTCTTTCCTCAATCCTCAAAGAGCAAACAAACAAGTATTTCAAACAAACATGGCCTACCAAAAGACCACAAATTTATTGTTAATGAAGACTACATGATCAAATCATCTTGCACAAATAACCAAAAATCATAGCTATGTATGGTTCTCTACACATATTAACTCAACTCTTAAGGTTAATAAGTGGCACAGATTCATTTGGTCAAAATATTACTTAAGAACTGAGCAAGTCTGTAGATGATAGTAACACGCATCATAAATCGTGTTGGAATAAAATAATAAAGGATAATAGACAAGTTATGGCAAATAGAAAACCTGATGGCAATCTCTCCTTGCTGGGAGACAAGTGTTGCTAGTTGATTAAAGATGCTGCCGAGCTCGTGAATAGTGGACTCAACATTTTGAAGAGCTTCAGCTCTGCTTTGCATGTAAGTGTCCTGCAATGGAACTATCTGTTGTTGCTGCTGTTGTTGTTGCAGCAATGGTTGACTCTCCCCATCCACCTGCTTCCTGTGGAATGTAGATGTGAAGACCGTGAAAAAATAAAATAAAAATGTATGAAAGTAGAGTTGAAGATGTAATTCAACCAAACTTGAAACAAACTAAAAATGCCAGTAGTAGTAAGTAATGATTAGTCTTTTATATTAAATCATCAATCATATCAAACCATATTGTATCTGTTCCCTCTTAATTTAAAACCTTATAATTTTGAACAAATACATAGCTCGTGGTACGAAATTAATATCAGTGCAATGGCTAGCTGTGACATAGTTTTTGAAAATTGAGTCATTCTTACGATTTTCAATTGCAGACCTCAGAAAATAGCAGTTTGTTCAAATTCTGCTACACAACAATTCTATAGTGCCGCTATTTCACAATATTTTATACTAAATAGCATATTTTGAAACAAAAGCAATTTATTGAAATTCCACTATGTAATAGTGCTATAGCTACTATTTAACAACACTTCCTACTGCAACAACCATCCAAAGAGAACAAATCGATAAAAGGCAGGTGACTACATTATAGTATTTTACTCTATTCTACTTGATAAAAATCCCTCCCCTCCCTTCCCCTCGATTGAACCAAACTGACCCTTAGAATCTCTTATTCTTTCTTGGAACAAAATCATTGTACTTGATAATCTAATCAAGTATGACACAAGTTAATTTGATGAAAAGCAAAGTGATTCAAGTTATGTTATATGCTTAACTAAAGCCTCTAACAGTACAATCAACAGAAGAAAAAGAGCACAACTTACCCACTAGCCCATGGAGGTGGTGCAGGAGCATTAGAACTACTAGCAGCAGACTTTGTAGCTAAAGGACGTTGACGGATAAAAGGATTTGCAGTATCCTTAGAAGCATTCGACGAAAACAATTGTCTTCTACTCTCATGCGTTTTCAGGTTCTTCATAAAAAAAATCAAAAACCATCATAACACCGCCGTCGCCAATTACCATAGCACAACCACACAAACACAAATTACAAACAAAAAAAAAACAATACCTCAGTTCTCATGGTGAGAACATCTTTAAACTCTTTCGTGGTGCTCATCAATCGCGTCTTTAAATCATCCACAACCGTAGTGGAATGACTAGTTGTATCAGTAGAAACATTTCCACTCTCATTTCTAGAGTTACTGATCAATTGAAGATCCACAACCGCGGAATTAAGCGCGGTAATATCTTGTTTAATAACACTTGTTAGTTCTTGAATTTCCATAGTCGGATCATCGAAAACCGAAGTCCTTTTCGCCACTACAAATCAAACAACAAAAAAACGAATAAACAGACATTAATCAGCATTAACAATACACGAAGAATAGAATAAAAGTGAATATGAAATTATGAATAATTTACATTTTGCGAGCTTGGAGAGTTTCTGAGAGGTTTGATGAATTCCATAACCAATCTTGGAAGCTCTTCTGTTAAACTCTGATTGAATTGCGACGGCGGATCGGGGATCGTCGGATCTGGAAGAGGACGAGGGAGGAGAAGAGGAAGAAGGAGGATGAGTGCTGGTGGTGGCTCCATTTGAGGTTGATGATAGTGATTTCTTCAATTTTTCTGCGACGGTGTGGAATTCGTGTGTGCGATCTCGAAATGAGGATTGTGTTGATTTGAATTGCATCTTGGTGGAGATATCGGAGTTGAAACCCTAGATCTGATTGGAATTGGAGTGTGTTTGGGGTTGTGTATGGGTTAGATTGGTTAAGGATGTGATGAAATGGTTCGTATGATTAGAAAGGGGGAGAAGGAAGAGGTGTGTCTTAACGGATTTTGGAATGGAATTGGAAGATCCAGCTTTCATGTTGATTGTTGAAACATTAAATCATATGCTTATTGCTACTCACCATATGTTATGTGAAAAAATAATTTACATTAACCATGAATCTTATCTGTTTTCCTCCGAAAAAATAATTTACATTCAATTAATCTTGTATTGTCAAATTGTTTTTGAAAAAAAAGGTCATAGTAAGATGTGCCTTTATGACAATATTAAGGATACTATAATTTAAAAAAATTAAATATATTAAATATAATAAAGTTATATTTAAAGTTTTAAAATATTAAATTCGTAACTTTTAAAAAATATTTTTATAAATAATTTATTAACTTATGCTTTTAGAATACACGTTAGTTTTTTCTTTTAAAAAATTATAATATTTAAGTAGTATGTAATGTTAGGCATGATAACAGGGTGGGTCGAAGACGATTTTTACCTTCCCCAAACTCAAATCTAAATCTCCAATCAATCCTTGTTTTCCGTCCCAAACTCAAACGGTAAAGGAGAATTAAAATTCAAACTCGTTCTAAACAGGTTCGGGTTGGGTTCAGGTATTCTCGCTCTGCCACCATCAATTTAATAAAATCAATTTTTTTAATAAAAATATTCATTTTTTTCAAAATCAAATTACATTATAAAGAATAAAATAAAATAATCTCAAAAAATTTCATAGATACATTTCAAATATTTTAAATAATAAATACAAATCAAATTATCAAAATATCGGTCACATATTTAATATTCTAAATTATCAAAAATAAATAATAATATATATAATGAAATAAACGAAGCGGGTTCGGGGGTATTAGTGTCCCCATTACCCGGCACATCCCCATATTTTGTAATCGGAGAAAACTCAAACCCAAACTCATTCAAAGCGGGTTTTCCCCGTCAACTTCGGGGCGGGTTCGGGTGGGTACCTGTGGGTACGGGTTTTGTTGCCATGCCTAAATCTAACCCATTAAACCTTATTTTTTTGGCCTGAGCTACGCAAACATTTTCACAAAGAACATGTTTATCCATTCTACTGTGATACAAACAAACACTTAAGTCTCTCACACGCAAGCATACAAGTAACGCTTAACTGCTAGAATGCGACCCTAACATCGTTCATTAAAATTAACCAACACACAGTTCTTCACGGAGAACTACGTAACTTTGAGTTTTCCATCGCACTTGGAAATACGTAGTAGTGAGATTCAACATCTCGTCAGGCACTATTTTAAAAATTCCAAAAGCAGTTCTTTTCTACTAAGAACTATGTAGTCTTGAGTTGCTCATTGCACCAGAGGATATGTAGGAGCGAGATCCAATGTCTTGTCAGACCCAATAATAAAAAAAACCTAAAAACCCTTTCTTTCTTTATTAACGCATAATTAGAAGATCGCAAATAACATCACGCTAACACTCTATAGCAAGACTAATTAAATGGGTCTCATTGAGTACAACTGATATGAGGGGTGCTAAGACCTTTCTATTGCATAACCTACTCTCGAACCTGTTTTTGGTTGCGACGATCATATTATTTCATTCATTGAGGGTTTTATCGATATTTTCCCTTTTCCTTTAGAATAAATAAAACTCGATGGCGACTCTGTTGTATTTCGAGTGTGACATGCTTGGGTATTTTTTACGCCACAACAGGGAGGGGGAATCCATGAAAAAGGGAAACTAGGATTTATGTGAAAACTTACTTCATGTGTGAAATTTATGCGTGTACATGTTTATCTCATTGTTTTCATACACATGTGTGTCTAACCATGGTAATTGGTGTTATTGTATGTAATATGATGATGTATGGTGAAACATGTTCGTTTATTTCCCTTCCTGTTGTGTTTTTCTACTGGTTGAGTTTTAATGCAATCTTCGTTAAGCGAGGGAACCGCTTGCTAAACAAGTAAATCAGTTCCCATGACATAATTGTGTTATCATCTGCGCTAAGCGAGGAAAGGTTTCGATAAGCAAGACAGGGGAATTTTGAGAAGAAGGACTCTCTTCCTAGTCTTGCTGGAGTGAGAAAGCTCGCTTGGAGCCTCACTAGGGCTCGGTGAGCGAGAATGAGGAAACCTCTCGTTGTGAACTCTCTACCTCACCTAGCTTGGTGATCGTCCGGGGCTCACTAAGTGGTGGTCCCAATGTTTTGAAATATGACTTGTTTCCACCATACAACGGGATTCATAACTTTGATTGATGCAAGGTCGGATTCATTGGAATAATGTTAATTTCATGATATGAAAGCTTGAGTATGTTATGATATGATTAGGTATGGTTTGGATGGTTAGAGGTGGAAGAATGTGAGTTTAAAGATGAGATTTTTATATTTTTGTGTTGTCATTTTTGCTGAGACATAATTTTGCTTAGCGAGATCTACTGTCATGAGAAATTCAGCAATATTGAAAATAGTGTATCTTGACTTTTGTAATTCGAAATGAGATGTGGTCAGATACGTTGGAAATTGTATCGAGAGAGTTATCCCATAACATAATAAGATGATAATTGTGTGCATATTTTCTAATTATGATCGTCTTATTCCATAATTATGCTCCAACTATTTATTGGATATTTGGAGAGGAACCTTTGTTCCGAAAGTCTTATTTGGTGAGGAACCCCTGTTCTGAAAGTCCTATTTAGTGAGGAACTGTTATTCCAAAAGTCCTATTGGTAATGAAATAGTATGTGTGTTTATGAACCATATTAAGATGTGATTGTATCTTGTAAACAATGCTATGATTTATTTGGTTGTGTTAAATGTATGCTAGCTGATTAAAATCCTTATGATAATGAGTAAGGAAAACCTAGGGTTGTGAATAGGTAAATGAACTAGTAAGATAACTTAGGCTATGTCAAATGACTTGGATGGCGATATTCAGACACAAAGGTACCTCAGTGTGTACAGTGGACAATTATTTGCTAGAATTGTAGTTTAGTCACGAGCTAATATGCTTTGTATGGAACATGAGTTCATGTTATGAGACTTGGTGAATATGATCACCTAATGACTGAGAAGTAGAATCACATTGTGATTGATGAACTAGTCATGTATTAAGAAACAACCACATTGTCGTGCCCTTCCCAAATTGAGATGCTTATGAAAAATAAGAACTGGGATACATGCATTATTACTTTGCATCAACTGAATGGGTTAGAGTCCCATAGTTCAACCAAATGGGTTAGAGTACCATAAAAGACGTGGACCTCAAAGTGAGTTAGAGTCCCATTCGAAGAAAAGGCTCGAAATAGGTTTGAGTCCCATATGGAGCAATGATTCTTAAAGTGGGTTTGAGTCCCATGGAGAATCTGAAATCCACAAGAAAGTCGAAGTATGATACAAGGATATGTGACCCGTGTCGATAATCTTAGATATAAGGTTGGCCGAGGAAAGATGCCTTGGTACGTTTTTTGATTAGTGACTTATTTGAGTTGGTGAACTCAAGTATGCATGTTTTCATACAATGTGAAAATACCTTAGATACTTAAGTCTTTCTCTATCGTGTAAGTGTACACATGTTATGATATGGAGGAGATTAAGTCGAGGAATCTATTATAACCCCTATAGAATTGAGTGGGCCCATAAGATAGGGAATCCACTGAGGTTATTATCTCACCCCATTATTATTGTTGTTTTTTAGGTAGTTCTTTGCAGGTTAAAGGAAAGGGAAAGATTGTCGGATGATGTTTCGAAGACTTTGTCACTGTGATCTTCCGCTGGGGATTCATGTGCAATTGTGGATATTGTACATAGATCTTAGTTTTTGATTGGGCATTATTATATATCGTGTGCCATAATTGTGTATTTTCTTTTGGACATGTATATATAATGAGGTTGTTAGGCACTTATGTTGTATCAGTACCAATTAACATTGCGTATAAGATATTTTCTAGATGTATATTATATAGGGTGTTACACAACTCATCATAATATAGAACTTTCAGTGCTCAAATGTATGAAGAAACTTTTCTATGATAGATGAAAAATTATGCGACAAACATTTCTTAGAATTTTGAATTTTGAATTTTGAACACTTTGAAATTTGAATGATTTATTTGAAAATGTGAGTGAAAGAGGTAACTTTGAAATCTGATAAATTTTAGTTCAAATACATCCCATGATACCTCTAGGATTTAATGCAATGGTTTGGGCAAGATCCACAAATAATTGCAATGCATCTGAATCACAATGATTTAGAATTTTCGCAATTTTTTGCAGGTGTAACCGGTTACACTTATAGTATAATCGGTTACACGAGTTCAAACATTAAAAAAATTAGGTCTATATTTTGTGTAAGTGATTATACTAAAAGTGTAGCTGGTTACACTATTAAAAAAATGAGTTTTGTCTTCCAAAAGGTGTGATTTGATATTGTTTGATGTATGGATGATGGGTAAAACTCTAGGTGAAGATGAGATGGAGATATTTGAGCACATAAAGCTTTATACAAAGTGAATTGATATTGTACCTTACTTAATAATCAATTTAATTTGAATTCCAAATCATCTTAGTCAATGCAAGCTTGATCTTTATCTTACATATTGTTTGAGATCTTTATCCTTCTTTGATACTCCCTCTGTCTCATAATAAATGTTTTATTTGAGCTTTGCATAATTTTTAAGAAAATGATTAGATGGGATGATTTTAATGATAAAATTAATATTATTTACTAAAATATTCTTATTTATTATAGTTAGTGGGGTTGTTAAAAAGTGTGAAAGTTAATAAATATGGGTATAGTAGTGGATAAAAAATAATAATTATTGTATTGATATTCTAAAGAGACATTTATTTTGAGACATGAAAAATGTGAAAATTAGACACTTTTTATGAGATGGAGTGAGTAGTCATTAGT